TTCACTTGGGTCCAAGAAGACACACTGACCCGAAGGGCGCCCTGGAGGCTTTTCCAGCTGCCCTGTGCATGTCCTTCGTTTTCACAGCTCCTGATGTGGCTGTGATTCTTTGGAATTGAAATACTCACCAGCCTTGCCCTGCTGCCATCCCTTAAGCGTTCAGGAGGCTAGTGTGGACGTAAATACAGAGTCTCCAGCGTGGATATCATTTCCCTTCCGTCACTGACAGTGTCCTTTTAAGTTCCTCATAAAAGCTGTGTGCTAGGCCAGAGAATACCCTGAAATGATCTGTAGGGAACTGATTAAAGGAACTACAGATTCTAGGCCAAGCAGAAATGACCCGCTATTTGAAGCTGGAGCAGAGCAAAATGCAGTGCAGGTTAATAGATCAGCGAAAGCTGTTTTGTCAAGCTCGTAAAAAGGTGAGGGAACCAAATTTTTATAATAAATAGTTTCACTGAGCAAACAATATGTGTAGTTATTACAGACTTTGGAAAAGAAATGATTTTAGGCTAATGTCAGGCTCCAGATCCTGATGTAGATAGTGGGGCCCTCAAAATGAAAAGAATGTAAAACCTCTGGACTATTGTTGACACGCGTGCTATGAAAGCACACGCAATGTCGTTCATTACTCACTTCTCGGAGAACATTTCTAGTGGTATTAACCTCTGGGCATTTTTGTATTTCTTACTGAGGGCAGTGTATCTGGTAGGATTCATTTTGGGGGGAGCTGGGGGCAGCAGTTCGGAGGGGAGTGGATTTACAGACTCAGTGGCAGACCGTGTGCTCAAGACTACACCCTCACAGGCTTTCGAGAGCCTGCCATCTTGGTCCTTGTCTACAAATACCAGTGGCCGTGCACACCTGATCACACATAAATAGCCAGCGAGTTGTATCTTCTTTGATGCCCCTTGGAAAAGCCAATCATGAGCCTACAGACTTAAAATAAGAATCTGAACCTTTCCTCACCCCCGGCATCCCTGGTTCCTTCCACTGTCTCCTCCGGTGGTTTCTGGTCCATTCTGTGAATGGGAACTGCAGCCCCTCTGGGCCCTGTCTTCATCAGGATGCCTGGTATTGAACAGCCCCCGCTCCTTAACAGCAGAGCTTGGTGTTGTGATTATCATTTGAAAGCTTTGGAAATCTGAGAGTTGCTCCCGGAATGAAAAGGTAAGTGCAGTAGTTGTTAGCAGGTTCAATATTTTGGTCAGTTTAGCGGTTGCCTAGTAACCGAAGTGAAACTGACCAGAAGATGGAAAAACTTGAAATTCATTTCCAGGGATTGCCTCAGACTGCCAAGAAGGCACCTTCCTGTTTTCATGTCACTAATTTTTTTTTGTAAGTCCCTTGAAATCCTTTGGAGATGATGCACTGTTTTCTGGATGTTAGGTGTACTGATGAATATCCACAACCATTCACTGTCTGAGAAGAAATCCCAAGAGTCTGCATTTGCGAGGAGGCTCTCGAGACCACCCACATCCCCTAAACCGGGCAGGATGTGGGTGCCACTTCCCAGCCCCTATGGGTGCCAGCCTTGCCCATCCCTGCCTCTAGATGAAGCCAGGACCCTGGGAAACCCTCTGTTCTCTACAGCGTGTGTTTGACCCTGAACTGGCCCCTTGGCTACTGGCAGCAGCCAGGCAAAAAGTGAGGAATGGCTGAAAATAGGCAAGGGTGGGCCAGTGGACCCCCAGGTAGCCACAGGTCCACCCCTTATCTCCAAACCCCCAGGACTGGGGAATTGTACCCAGGGAGACCTGCCGGCTCCTCGAGCAGCCTCTCTCTGAGAATTAAAGCCCTGGCCAGAGTCTTCTCCTGGTGGAGGGGAGTTATCAGTGAGGACTCTGAGGGCCTGGAGTCCTCCCCCTCCCTGTCCTCCCTACACGCAGCAAAAATGCCTTGAACACCTGCTCTGCACCTTTCTGCTCCAATTCCTCTTGAGAGACACAGAGCAGAACCTGCCTCTCTGTCCTCCCTCCACCTACGCTGCCAGAAGGGGTAGCTGGTACTCCAGGGGGACATCAGCCCCAGAGGGGAACACCCCTCTGGAAGACAGACCCCAAGCGCAACAGTGTCTGTGATCCGAAGCAAAACAGATGGACCACAGGTACAAAACAAGCATGGAAAATACTCCAGCAGACAAGGAAGACGTGACCAAGGCAGAGCAGAAACAAGTAGTCATTAAAAAACAAATGAAGGGGCGCCTGGGTGGCTCAGTGGTTAAGCCTCTGCCTTCAGCTCAGGTCATGATCCCAGGGTCCTGGGATCAAGCCCCGCATTGGGCTCCCTGCTCCGTGGGAAGCCTGCTTCTCCCTCTCCCACTCCCCCTGCGTGTGTTCCCTCTCTTGCTGTGTCTCTCTCTGTCAAATAAAAAAATCTTTTAAAAAAATAAAAATAAAAAACGAATGAAGTATGAAGAACAGAATCACCAAACTAAGGAACGAAAGAGAAAAGTTAAGTTACAGGATGGGTGCAGTTACATAAATCTGGGTCAAACTGAAGAACCAGCCAGAAGGCAGCAGGAAAGGCTAAAGAAACAGCAGGTGTAAAGCAAAGGTTGAGTGTTGTAGAGGGACTGAAGGAGATGGGGGCTCACAGAGGACCCCGCAGGAGAATTAGTGGGAAACCCTCCCCGCCAGAGGCTCAGGATCTCGGCTCCTTCCATCCAGGCCATTGCCCTGCAGACCGCCAGGTTGTGCAGCGGCTTGCAGATCTGGTTCCGGGCCCCCGGCCGCGATGCCTTTCCCGCCCTCTCCCACAAATACGTGACACCAGCAAATGCAGGAGCCATGTCTATATGGGCCTGTCCTGTAGTACCCGACCAGGGCCGGGACACTGGCAGGTGTTGGGAAGCGGTCATGGGATGAGCGAGGGAGTGAGTGAGCTCTGCCGGTAGCCGGGGAAGTCAGCGGAGTAGATCTGGATTTTGTAAATACGCGATGAATAACCATCTGATTAAAGTTCCCAACTGTGCTTAATGGGATTTGCCTTGGGAAAAGTCCGTTAACTTTTTCTCTCACCTTGAACCCAACGAAGTTCGCACTTGGTTGACGACACTCCGTACCGACTGTCAGGCGTCCGTTTCTGTCGTGTTTAAGCCCCTTCACACTTCCATTTATTTCTTTGCCCTTTGGAGTCAGCAGACTCCCTTCTCTGGTACTGAGGCTTTTCCAAGAGGTCTTGAGGTTTCTGGCTGAGATGTTTCCTAATGTCAGCCCCCCACCCCCACCCCAGGCACCCAGCACTTCACTGCAGGGGCCCAGGTTGGGTGGCTGGGTCTTCCAGAGACAACTGCCTTCTTTACAAAATTGCCCTAAAAATAGCTTCATTTCACTTAAGCCATTTTAGAAATTGTTTCGGATTTTGTTCAGACCCAGCTCAAAGCAGGATACTATTTCAAACAGGTATAATGAGCATCGAACCCTATCACAAGGCCTCTGTTACCCGGTTCAGGCTGCTGGGAGTTGATACAGTTGCCTCGTTGGGAAGAGCCCCGGGGCCAGAGGGGGCGCAGGATGCAGCAAAGAACAAAAACAGACCAGCCAGGGCCCAAGTCCAGTTTGGCCAACTCTTGATATTAAGGGTGGGTGATGGTGAGAGCCAGACAAGCAGGTTTCAGGGACAGAAGAACCCGCTCAGAGTTGGGCCCGTCTAGGTGCCCCGAACTGTCCCAGGGAGTAGACTGGCCCACCACTGGCAGGACAGGCTGCACCCAGGACCCCGGCCTCTAGCCCAATGCCAAGCCCTGCTCAAGCTCCAGGGATGAGGGTGAAGGAGACACACAGCCAGGCCTTCAGAAAGCTCCCAGTGTATGGGGACCTCAGCTCTAATCTGTCAACTCAAACCTGTGGCGGTGGGGGACAGACTGCACTACTCCCTGAGATGGAGCGGTTAGGAGGCTTTGGGGAGTGCTGGGGGTGGGGGCAGAAGTAGGAGATGAGGGTCCGGAGTGGAGGGCAAGTCAGGGAGACAGCACAGTCTGAGGCTCTTTATAGGCCCACAAGTGGGGGGAGCTGTGGGAGCACAGGGCCCTGGGGCTGAGGGGTGGGCCAAGGCGCGTGGTGGGCAGAGCCTCATGGAAGGGCCTGGTGTAGAGCACCGAACAGGGGACGGAGGCCTCCTGGGTCCACCTGGAGTATGGAATCGGGGGGCCCCGCAGGAGCGGGCCCTGAACCCGGGCAAGGATCTGTGGCTGTAACATTGTGCTCCCTCTCTGCCATGGGCCTACTGAGTCAGCCTTGGCCTCCTGACAGGGGCCGTGGGGAGCAGTCCCGCAGAAGATGGGGCTGTGTTTGCCCAGGTAGCCTGTTCTAACCTACCACAGACTTTTGGAATTAGGCCTTTATTAGAACTCAGCATTCTCTCTCTCATGATGTTGTATGTTGGGATCTCATATTTCCCTTCAGATGACTCAAAGGAGTACTTTGAAAACAGAAAAAAGGAAAAAAAGACCCTAACAGCTCCCTGTGCGTGAACCAGTGAGGTGATGACCATGAACTCGGGTGGTTAATAGAGCAGACTGCAGAGTCCCCCAGCCTCCATTCCTATCATCCCATGTCCCTCTCCTCCACCTTCTTGTGGTTCGTTCCATCCTGGCAAACTTTTGTTCATCCTTCAAAACCCAGTTCACACATCACCTCCTTTGAAGCCTTCCCAGATTCCCTCCTCCGAGGAGAATTTCTCTCTCCCTCCTGTTTTTGGGGGCACTCTTCAGTCTCCAGGTAGGACACATCGTATTTTATCTTTTGATGGTTCTGTCTCCCCAGTGAAATTGGGCAGGGCGGCCGATCCCACAACACAAGCGCACCTCCTCCCGATGGGCAGCGGAGTCCCCTCACAGGTCCACGTGGCCCCTCTCTCCACCAGTGCCCAGGACTCTGCCAGGCCTGTGTGGCTATGGATCATTGTGCTGAGCTGGAAACCATGGTCACCCCGAGCCCACCCACTGCCAACTAACGGCTCTCTCTCTTTCTCTCTCTCTCTCTCTCTCACCTTCCTAGGGCCGACGAAATTGAAATGATCATGACGGACCTTGAAAGAGCAAACCAGGTAGGATGTTTCATGGCCTCAGGCTTAAAATCCCAACAACGTAGCTATTTATGTCATCTTGCTAGATGCTTCTGTCTAAGTTGGAAAGCCAGTTATTCTCGTATTTTTTACGTATGATTGTCATTGTCGACGCTTTTTCCAGTGTCATGAGAAGTATTGTGGAAGGTCCCTTGGCAGAGTCTTTGGTGTGGCCCCAGTGTCCCAGTCTCCCTTGGTGACTGCGGAGTGGCTGTTGGTTTTTCTTTTCCTTAATCCATTTCTTAAATGCCCGGTTCTGCTCCGACGGCAGCCGTTACACTCGAGTCTGGGCCAGTGAGTCATACCGTAGGCAAGTCTTCATCTCTGCCTTCAAATGCTTTGAAGCTACTTGCTCAACTGACAGCCCTCTCCTGGCTGATACTTAGGTGTCACAGATGCCTTGGGGAATGCACTTGGCACTGTGTCGGGCACAAAATACCACACAGAACGGGGTGGCTCCAGATACTCAGCTGCCTGGGGCCCTGGGTGGCTCAGTGGGTTAAGTGTCCAACTCTTGGTCTCAGCTCAGGTCCTGATCTCGGGGTCGTGAGTTCAAGCCCTGCGTCGGGCTCCACACTTGGCATTGGGCCTCCTAAAATAAATAAATAAATACCCGCCCAGAACCCCTGACTTATTCCCCAAGGCCTCCACCGAACAGGAAAACATTGCACTTTAGCAAATGGTGTTGCTGCTTCGGAAAGAAAGAGTCTCCCCGTTTGTTTCCTTTATTTATGGGGAGAAACACCCAAAGCTGTGATCGAGCTCTCGGCCTCAGAAGGCCCCAGGCTGTGGCCATGGGCACGTGCCAGGAAAGCTTAGTGGTTTCCCTCAGGTAGAATCCTGTGTATCCACGGTCCTGCAGTAGTAAGAAGGGCTGACAGCTCTTGAGTAACTTGAGCCTGGCTCGGTTCTGAGCTCTTGCCATGCACTGAGCCACCGAACCCTCCCTGCCACCCACTCAGGTCGCTGCTGGTAGGATTCCCCATTTTACAGACAAGGACACTGAGGTCAGTGCTGGTCAGGGGCAGAGCTGGGATCGGAGCCTGTGCTCCTCACCGCCACCCTCAGAACCAGGGACACAGAACACAGGTCACTTTGCCTTTCTTTCAGACCCTCTCAGCTCCCAAACACACCCGTCCACACAGCTCCTCACTGCCAAGCACTACTTCTCCTTCACCCCACAAAAGTGCTTAAGCATTTATTTACCTTTATTTGCTTAAACGAATTTACTTTGGCCCCTTTACTCTTACTCGGCACTGCTCAACTTTGCAGAGACCTTAACTCAGAAGAAGGTACTAGAAAGAGTTCACCTTCTCTGTCAGACGGTTACCCTTTGGGCATCCCACATTTGTTCCCTGGCCAATCTCGAGCGTGCCTCTCCCTTTGATGGCACTTTGGGGTAAGCTCCAGGTTGTGCAACAGAGAGCCGCAGTCTGGGAAAATCGAATGGACTGTCTCGTGCTGTCTCCGAGGCAGTCCCCAGGTACCGAAGAAGTTTGGCCAACTTGGCGTACTTCTCAAAGTGCTGAAGGCCACTTGGCTGGATCTCAGTCCTGGGACACACCAGGCAGGGCTGTGGAGAAAGGGGCCACCCCTTGGTTCAGGTCCCAACTCTGTGTTTGCTGGTTGTGTGGCCTCGGACTCTTAACTGCTTACAGTTCTTTAAAAAAGAAAAGAAAAAAGATGAACTTTTGCAAACACGCTAAGGGAGAGAGGAGTCAAAGTCATAGAGAAGGTGGAATCCTGGTTGGCAAGGGCTGGGTGAGGGGGTACCGGTTAGTGGGTGTAGAGCTTCAGCTTTGCAAGATGCAAAAGTTGGGGAGATCGGTCAGTCGGTCAACCACGTGAATGCACTTAACACTGCTGAAACGTACACTTGAAAATTGGTATGTATTTTGCCATGATTAAAATGTTTTAACTTTTTTTTAAATGTAAGAAAGAAAGGGAGGGAATGGTAACTGGCACTTCCTTTGCACGATTGCTCTGGGGGTTAGAGGTTAAAATGCCCAAGTACGAAGTAGGTACTTAGATAAATCTGTAGTTGCCGAAGAAGTGCATATTTGGTGGGAGAGTTATATAAAGCCCTGCACTGGGGAAATACCAGCATGGTGGGCATGGGAGAAGTGTAGGCGAGTTCTCACCGACAATTCAGGGTGAGTTAGAGCCTGATGTGGCTGCCCAGAGACATGAATGCAACTTCAGGCTGTGTTAATAGAAATAAGAGTTTCTAGAATGAAGGAAGTAGTATTCTGCACCAATCTGTAGCAATCAGTCCATGCCCAGGGAATTATAATTTATTCTGGAAACCACACTATGAGGACAGCTGGGACCTCGAGTGCATTCAGGCTCCACCCCACGGCCAGGACCAGGAAGGAACCCTCACACAAAAGAAATCAGGAGGTTTGGGGACATTCCTGATCTCTGGCGAACAGAGAGAGAAGACAGAGGGGCTTGACACCAAGCACCAGAGGAATAATTTCAGGAACTTGGGATGTGACAAGGTTACAAAGGGGAAAGCCTCGGGTGGGAACATCATGGATTCTGTCCCGTAGCTCTCCAGGGCTGGCCCGGGGAAGGGGTCAGGCTTTTTCATGGCCATGGCCACACTTGGAGGCTGGAGGCTGGTGGGAGGGACCTTACTCCTGATGTAGAGCAGCCCTCTCTCAGTCCTGGCTCTCCAGAGGTGCCCAGAGCTGTGTGCCCCCAGAGCTGTGAAGGCAGATGCGGGCCAGCCCTCACTGTGGGTGTGAGGTCAGGGATCAGACACAGAGGGAACAGGAAAGATTGCACTGCCCGGGGTGGCCATGAGGAAGACAGTGTTGCAGGCAGGCACAGAAGGACATGGTGAGCCCTGGGGATTCTGGGCCATTCCGTAAAGCCAAAACAAGGAGGTGCAGGGTGGGAGAGTAGGCCCACAGGAGGGGATCTAGATCCAGGTTTGGGAGAGGACTTTGAACGTCAGGCCTCTGCGTGGAAGACCTCTTTCTGAGAACGGTGGAGAACCCTGGGCAGGAGTGAGACGTCGGACTTGGTGTTCTAGAAGGATCCCCCTGGCAGGACATCAGAGAACAGATGGGAGTGGAACGACTGGAAGCATCAGTGTCAGGGCAAGACAGACTCGGGCCCGCAACGAGGCGGTCCCAAGCAGAGAGGAGGCGGCAGGGCGGGAGGAGGGGGACGAAGGAGCCGCACGCTGGTGCAGGCACAGCCAGACATCTGGTTCAGCCGCCTTTCCCATCAAGGGAAATCCCCAAGAGGAGCAATTTACTAGTTCATTGGCATATAACATTATTTTTGCACTAGGTTTATAGTCACAATGGTCTACTGAGACCTGAAGCTGTTTTCTTGCTGCCGCACTCAGGTTTCTGTTGCGGCAAAGTGGAGGGGTGGTCAGCAGCCGACAGCCCGGGGTCTCACTTACACCTGTTCGTTAGACTTCAAGGCACTTGCCGTCATACGCGCTGCCTTGATTGGTGGCCGTGATGGTTCAGGACGTTGAAGACTGCGTGATAAATAAGAAGCCACAACTTTGCGCCTTGTGACCGTAGAAAGCCATCTGGGGACTTCGGCCATTCTGGCACTTGGCCAGCTGTACCCTCACCCGTGTGCCTTTCTGAGCAGCTCTGATGTGAGCTGCTGGAGGCACAGAGCCCCAGCCGGCGGCAGGAGGCAGTCCTTCTTTGTGAGTGGTCCTCCTTCTGCTAACCTGCTGATTCTTATGGAGGAGACTGCACTAACGGGAGGACCATCAGCTAGAAGCACAGCTTCACCTCCCCGAGGAAAAGAGCCAAGCATAGAGAAAAATGCAGAGCCACAGGAACTCCCAGCAAGGCACGGCACTTTCTTGAACCAAGGTTTCTGGGTTCCAGTGGGGAACAACTGGGTTTGCATCCCAGATCTCCTATTTCCAAGCCATGTGGCCTTGAACGAACCCCCAGGTTCCTGGTGTGTTTCCCCGTCTACAGAGTGAGGGTAGTAATTCACACATCTGAGAGAACACTGCTGAAAAAAACAAATCCACTGAATAAATTTTGAAGACCTTGATCAGCTTTATTCAACGATTCCTGAATCAGGCAGCATCCCATCCAGCAGACAGAAAGGAGCTCCGAGGAGAAAAGAAGGCTTCTATAGGCAGAAAAGGGAAGGACAAGGAAAGAGCCGATTGTTTCAGGCGGGGTCCCCTTCCTATGGGAGCCGGGAGGGGTCTCTTGGACAGATGACCTCACTAGCGTTGACCAGGAAATCCCAGAACAACGGGCTAAAGGTCCCCTTCCCGGGAGAGGCTGACACTGCAATTAGGTTAGGTCTTCCATCTTGGTTTGCTGACATGGGGTTTGGCACAAGTGACTCCATTTGGGCCTGTTGTCTCTCTTTTAACAATTCTGCCCTTTTGATCAGACTCTTAGCCTAACGGGGAGATTCTCATGATCAGAATTTAAGGCGTTAGTGCCGTTCTCAGCCACCACTCTGTAGTCTCGCAGCTTTTACTGATCTTCTGTGTGATATTCCCAGGCCGTGATGTTTTCTGTGGAATTCCTGTGGTGATCACGGGATCACGACTTCAGGCTCACCCTTTCTTAGTGGGTCATTCTTTTCATTGCTTTTCTGACATTCCAGGCTTGAGATCATTCACTTGACGGTTAGTGGATTCAAACATGCATTGAAAGCTTTTGAGAGAATACAGCACACCAGGGAGGTTACTATGATTATTATAAGCAGGATAATTCCCAGTGTCTGGGATGTACTTTGGAGCCCTGGTCCCCAAGACCCAAACGATTCAAAATCAAATAAGTCAAAGAGCGATCCTCTTGAAAGAGTCCCCTTTCTAAGCCCAGTGGCTTGCTCAGTGGTTTTATGTAAACGAGTTCCTACTTTCCCAGAAGTGTTAATCCAGGTGCAGCAAGTGGTGTTGATCACAGCACAGACCCCTTCTTGTTCAGCCAAAAGATGATCAAGGCCTGTTATCAAGAACAACCTTGGCC